CGATCTGGCTAATCTACATGCCTCCGTCGAAGGAGGCATGTAGTCTAGACACACCCCTAGAGAGGAAGAAAGCACAGAAGTTTTTAAGTTCTACTCAAAAAAAGTAACTGTGAAAATAGCATATTGGGGGCTCCGTATGGCTAGTGTCTCAGTGACTTCAGAGCAGCTTTTCACACTGCCAATCCTACAAACTCTTAGCACGATCTGGCTAATCTACATGCCTCCGTCGAAGGAGGCATGTAGTCTAGACACACCCCTAGAGAGGAAGAAAGCACAGAAGTTTTTAAGTTCTACTCAAAAAAAGTAACTGTGAAAATAGCATATTGGGGGCTCCGTATGGCTAGTGTCTCAGTGACTTCAGAGCAGCTTTTCACACTGCCAATCCTACAAACTCTTAGCACTGCCAATCACCTGGGTTTCTTTCTTCCTCAGACATTATCCCCAGTTCTAAAAGTGCTGCAGTTGAAAATAGGCTATCGGTGATGGGTAGGCAGTCCTATTTTATTCATTCTGCTTCCTTACTGACATGTGTGCAGCTCCATTGTCCTCGGTTAGGTCCACACAACTGTGTTTGCTCCCATAATTGGAATTTGTTAACATATATATAGATGAGGCACAAAAATGAATAAAATCCAGCTTGCTCTTTCTTGGCTATGCTGGTTTAGCAGGCAGGAGTGTCATTTATGAGGGATTGAGGGCAGTAGCCCCCCTCCCAAGCTTGACCCCCTGGATTTCATGTTTCAGGTCTGCTTAAAGTTGCATGCCCTGACTCCAGAGGCAGTTCTTAAACACAACAGTTTGGGTTGCTTGCAGCTCTGCCTTTGGTGCAGGGAGCTTGTTATAAAAAGAGGGAGGGGCAGGCTGGTTAAGAATAACAAAAGGCTGGTTAAAAAACAACAACAGATGGTCTTGTAGCACTTTATAGACTAACAAAACATGCAGGAAACTCATGATACCATCTACACGTATTGTTAGTCTATAAAGTGCTACCAGACCATTTGTTGTTTTTTTTCTGTACAGACTGAAGCTTCAAAAGGCTGGTTATTCAGGTAATTGAAGGATCATTAGATCATTATGAAAACATTGCTGGGAACTCTACTTAAAAGGGGGGAGTGTAGGAATGACTTTTGTGCTTCAGGGATCTGCATTTAGATCACTGCTGCTAAACTTCTCATAAATGTTCTTGAAAAAGGGGTAAATAGTGACTAATCCAAAACTGATTGCAAAGAGTTACAAAGGGATCTCTCAAAACTGGGTGATTGGGCAACACCAAAGCAGATGGAATTCAGTGTTGATAAGTGCAAAGTAATGCGCATAGCAAAATATAATCCTAACTATAGATACAAAAATGATGGGGTCTAAAATAGCTGTTACTACTCAAGAAAGAGATCTTGGAATCTTTGGGTATGTCTAAACTACATGGCTCCGTCGACGGAGCCATGTAGATTTGTTTGTTCAGCAAAGGGAAATGAAGCCGCGATTTAAATAATCGCGGCTTCATTTAAATTTAAATGGCTGCCGAGCCGACAAACAGCTGATCAGCTGTTTGTCGGCTCAGCACACTACTCTGGACGCTCCCTGCTGACATGAAAGCTCTTTATCAACCTCCCCGGTAAACCTCATCCTACGAGGCATAACGGGGAGGTCGATAAAGGGCTTTCAGGTTGGTGCAGGAACATCCAGACTAGCGTGCTGAGCCGACAAACAGCTGATCAGCTGTTTGTCGGCTCAGCACACTACTCTGGACGCTCCCTGCTGACATGAAAGCTCTTTATCAACCTCCCCGGTAAACCTCATCCTACGAGGCATAACGGGGAGGTCGATAAAGGGCTTTCAGGTTGGTGCAGGAACATCCAGACTAGCGTGCTGAGCCGACAAACAGCTGATCAGCTGTTTGTCGGCTCAGCACACTACTCTGGACGCTCCCTGCTGACATGAAAGCGTAGCATATTGCTTCTATATAAAGTAATTGTAAGCCCTTGAATACTATATGCAGATCTGATCACCCCACCTAAAAAAAGGTATTTTGGACTTGGAAAAGGTACAGAAAGGGCAACAGAAATTATTAGGGGTAAGGAACGAGGTAAGGAATGAGGAGAGATTAACAAGACTGGGACTTTTCAGCTTGGAAAAGAAATCACTAAAGGGTCTAGAAAAATCATGTATGGTGTGAAAAAATAGAATAAGGAAATGTTATTCATTCCTTCACTAACCTCACAAGAAGCTGTGAGGGGGAGGGAATAGCTCAGTTGTTTGAGCATTGGCCTGCTAAATCTAGGGTTGTGAGTTCAATCCTTGCAGAGGCTATTTAGGGATTTGGGGCAAAAGTTTGTCAGGGATGGTACTTGGTCCTGCTGTGAAGGCAGGGGACTGGACTCAATAACCTTTCAAGGTTCCTTCTAGTTCTAGGAGATAGGCAATCTCCATTAATAAAAAGCTGACCCAATTAAATGTATAGGCAGCAGATTTAAAACCAAAAAAGTGACAAGGGATGGATCATAATGATTTCCTCTCTGGTTTATGTCTTCTGAAGCACTTAGCATTGGCCACTGTTGGAAGATAAGATACTGAGCTAGCTGGACCTTTGGTCTGATGTTTTTATATAGAGCTGAAATGTCTCTGACCCCTTGTTATAACCCCCCCCCCCCCCCCACACCTCTTCCAGAGCTGAAAGAGAGCCCAGGAGTCCTGATGGGGTCTCTATCTCTCTTCTCCTCCCCTCCCCCGAGTTAGTAACAAAGTATACATTAAAATTTTAAGGCTAACCAGTGTCCCTTAAGTGATATGCAACAAGATGTCAGAATATGTTAGTGTTAGAGTTGAGTGGGTCTAATATTTATTTAATTTTGGTCCTAGGCTTGTACTAAGCATACATATACAGTAACAGATTATAGTCTTGGGGTGGTTTTTTTTCATCTTGTAGGACACCCTAAACAAAGGGCAGCTGTTCCAAAAAATGGAATTTCCACCAAGGCAGATCTGCAGACTCGAGAGGCTGAACGGCAGTTCATCCAGCAGTTGAAGGAAAAGTGTGGCAAGCAATCCAGGCAATTCAGCTGTATTCAAGAGGAACTTAAAAGAGCCAGTCGTGGCTTCGATGTCTTTGCTGTAACAACACAGTATTTCTTTTGGAAGGTAAGTACACCCCATTAGAAAGCATTCATGAGTGTGTTTATTGCTATGTCTCAATACTAGTTATCTCTGTGAGCTACTCATTACTCCTGCCTCATTCTAACTCTGCTTTTGGGAGCTAAGGGTATCATTTCATTGTAACGGTTGCTATGAGAAGAGTATTATCATTAAGTACCATGTGGCTGAGAATCGAAGATTGGTGCATCCAGATAGAGGAGAGTACTGTAACTGATTCCTTTATATTGAAGATGGAGGGATTAGCAAGATATCAGTTGAAATCAAGGGGAATCTAAATGTGCACATAAGGAACAATGTGCTGCGCACATGTAAAATTCTAATTTTTCTGCTGTGCCACAGATTTGCTCCCATCTGGTTTAGATAAATATCCAGATTTTGGGAAGAAACGCAGGATCTTACCGAAAAGAAAAAACCACTCTCTGCCCCCTCCTGCCTATTGCTCAATTCCCAGCCAAAGTGCTCCACTGGGGTAAAGGAATATACACAGGATTGGTATCCAGTCTCTGAGTTCCAGTCAAGCTTCTTTCGCAAAGAAGCTTCTGTAGGGCTCGATTGTGCACCTGTTCCTCAGTCTGATTGGGAGTCACTCTCGGAAGTAGTCCCGTTGAGTTCAATGGTACTGATTACACAATTGCTGCTGTTAGGGCTAGAAGCTGTAGTTTACTCAGCATTGGGGATGGTACAGAGCTACATCACCTCAAGAGTGGGAAGCACTAGGAGCTATCATGTTTAGGAGGCACCCTCCAAATTCTCCAGTGCACTAGTCCTATCCTACAGGACAATAAAGAGGTCAGGGATATGGTCCAGCTTCTTCCCTACCTTTAGGCAATTTGCTCAATGAAGGGATGAGCAGTTCCTGCTTACAGTGATGTCTACTGGGATTTAGTACTTGTGCCATCAGGCAAAGGGAGAGGCAAGTTTCCTTGCATGCTTTCATGCTGAATTTGTGCAGATTTGGCCTGTGACAAGATAAAGATCCTCCCTCAGACAAAAATCATACAGTTAATTTAGGTACAGGGTAATATTCTATTTCTCTTTTAGATAAAGGCTGTATTGCAGTGTGTACACCCACAGGGATAGAGTTAAGGTTACATGTGCAACCTTAAGTTTGGTATGTCCTAATTTTTAACTGACTAGCCTAACAACCTTAAAGTTGCATGAAGTTTGAACTGTAAAGTTTCATGAACTTTTTTTCCCATTTAATATACACTAATATGTCTTGACAGCCATTCTGAAAGAAATGTCACTGGTCAGTGATATCTCAGTTCCTAGCTCCTCTTTCACTGGACAAAGTGTTTAAAAAAAATAATAACTGTTGTAAAATTAGTAAGTACCAAGGAATTTGTAGCACAAATTAGTGCTAACTATATACCCACCATGTTACAACTAAAGGAGACCACCGCTTTGCTATCTAGAAGTCTAGATAATCAAATGTTGTGATGACTCAGAGAGCAAAGGAAAATGAAAGCAGTCGTTCTTACATAGGCCATTAGCCACTTATGTAATGACTAATGATTGCTATGCCTGTGCACAGCTGTATTTTAATTAATTATTAATTAGCAGATTAATTAGCTAAGGTCAAATTTTGCCCTCGGATGTGTATGTATAATTCCTATTGACTTCAGTGCATTTCAAACTTATCTGAAACAGGGTAGTTCCTGCTCATGTTTTATATTTGTAACATTTAATTCTGTCCTCAGCTGATGTGCTAAGGATGTAATTGTCATGGTATATAACGTGGAGTAAAGAAACTACTGTCCGCTAGGAATTGAGCTAAGTTCATTATGACATTTTGCACAATACTAAATTAACAGCCTTCTATGACTTTGGTCACTACTGACCTTCGCCAGCTAGATTAGCCTGATAATCAATTACATTTCTGGCCCAGTTTCAAGCCCTGTGTTAAATCCAAAGGATATTCTTGTTTGCCTGTTAGAAAAGGCAATACCACCATCTACAGGACAGTAGCCTCAAGTGACATGGTTTGGAAAGGAATTCCTTATTTAAATAGAAAGTAAACAAGCATATATCTAAATATTTCTTTTGTATGTCTAGATAGAGCTTTTCTTGCAGAACACTAGCATGGCCATGCCACCCCAGTGCATTGGAAAGCTCTGTGATAAAGGCATGAACTCCTCCTCTGCCAGTTTCAAAGTCTGAAAAAGAGTGGAGGGGATCTTGTTAACAAGCAGCTCCTGGTTTCTTTAGATAAATGAGGAGTCTATGTCAGAAGATACAGAGCTTCCCAATCTTTTTCAAATACAATTGTGCAAGGAATTGTTTTTTGTCTTATGTGTAGGGATTTTATTATTTGAGCTTCCATTTCATCAAGGAGCTGACATTTCTTTTTATTCCAGTTAGGAACAAATTTGAAGATTTTTAAATTGACTGATAGTTCCAAAAAAAGCTCCATTTCACTTCAGTTATTACTTTTTAAAATTAAATATTCTCTCATAATATATAATATAATACAAAATAAAACCTTTCTAAACAAAGAGCCATTTTGAAAAGAAAAATGTAAGTGTTTTGGACCATTTACCCTCCAAAAAATATTCAGCAAAAACCATGAGGCAAATATTCAGCAAAAACCATGGAAAATAGCTCTATCGAAGATTTTGCTGACAGCTCAAATGATTATTCTTTATTCACATGTAGCTGTAAGTATTAATGAAGCTTTACAAAGCAAGCTTTATACTAAGGAAGGATATGTGTGCATTTACAGTTCCCTAGGTGTTCCTTGTAGGGCTGACAGTGAAATACAGGAACATTGCAAATACACAGTTGGCATGATAAACGGCAAAACTAGTATATTAATAAGGGTGATCACTATGAGAGTGTGTCTATAAAATACTTCATTTACAGGTCTTTGAATCAAATAAGTAGTCATAGGAAACTTTTGCTGTGTCCCAAGAAATATTACAAAGCCAAGGAATGTGTCCCTATCCTCTGTTCAAACCCTGTTGTCTATGTATGTCTGAAGAGTAGCATTTTTGTCCTTTAAATGACCCCTATTGCACCAGTGTAATGTGTTTTCCTGTCGGGTGCATATGTAATGCCAACAGGCGGAACCGAAGGTGGAACCTCTGGAGCTTAGTGCAGCATTAGCCTCTACTGCATGAGCTAAAAGCCAGCTGGTTGTAGAGCAAACTCATTCTTTCTCTCTGTAAGTGATCTAAGTGGCCCTACATGGAATAGAGAACCACACCCAGTAGGTATGTGGGTTACATACAAACCTTCCACATTCCAGCAAACAATGCAAAGAAAACCCCACGGCTCCCCTGTTCCTGAGGGCTCCCCCTCCACTCTCCTGAGTAGCAGAGCCCTTGAAACCCCAACAAGGCTGGGCCCAGGTTTCCTGGGGCTTAATCCCCGACCTTGTAGTCACTAGGGGCAGGAGTTAGGGTGTCCCCACTCCGAGGTGCTCTCTTTACACTGCAGGCCTTCTTGGCCCAGTGATCACTTCATAAGGTTCAAAGCAAATACAATTTATTAAACATCAACTGATTAAAGAGAATAGAATAAGAAACAATGAGAATGGTTAAATGAGAACACACAGCCCTGCTCTGTAGCACAGGGACATCAACACAGCAGTCTGCAGAGTGTAAGGACAGTTCACAGTCTCTTCCTTAGAAGCCCTGGATGTGCTGCAAGGGGCTGCAGGCTGGACACGCTTGCACTGGCAGTGACCACACAGCCTCAGTCTCTAAGTGGCCAGACCCCTCTCCCAGTCCAGAGCCTTTCCCCACACTTTGCAGGTCCCAGTAGCTCACCACATCCAGCTGCAGGCTGTGCTGCTTGGCCAGTTCCAGCTCCTTGTGTTGCTTCTCTGTTCCTTGTGGCTTTCTGAGCACTGCCAGTCTGCTGCTCAACACAGGGTCTGCACTGCTTGGCCTGTCTGTGTCTGGTTCTGTCGCTGCAGGACTTCTTCTTGTACTCCTCTTTCAGCTCTCTGTCTTTGCAGGACCTCTTCTGCACACAGCTGGCTCTGCTCTTTCAGCTCCCTGTTTGCTCAGAGAGAGAGCCAGAACAATCCCCACTTACAACCTGTCAGTCAGGCTGAGCTGGAGTGTTGACTGCTTTCCATTGTCTCTGGGGTCTGTCAGTCTCATGAACCCTTCCCCTTCTGAAGCTGGTAAACCAAAAACTCCCACAGAGTTTTAGTAAGGGGGTAACAGTCCCCTGCATGGTTCCAGCACCGCCACATTGCCAGGGACTCCCCTGCCTGCAGTTGCCTCCAGGACCCTTTCTTGTTCACTAGCAAATGCTTGGCCTGGTGACAGCCCAACAGAACCAGGAGATGCATTTTGCAACTTAGCTGAATTGATTTTGCTGGGTATGAGACTCCAGAAGGTGTCGTGGAGCGTGAGATGCCAGCGCTAGCTGTACAGTGAATCAAAATGTTGCAGATGAGGTCAGGCCATAGACAACATGTCGGGTGAAAGGGGATGTGTGGGGTCAAGTGACCCCCCCCCCAGATTTCTACATGGCCTGCAGCGTGGGGATGGAGAGGGGCTCCGGCCTTCTCCCTCTGCTCCTGTCCCCTAGCGTGTTTAGCCCCTGTCCCTCACCACCAGGCCTGGGCAGGAAGCAACAGGCACAGGACAGGCACTTCTCATGCTGGCCACTCTGGGTCACTACTCTGTGCAGCGTGGCAGCTACTTGAGAGAAGGCCTAGCTGGGGAGGGAGTCAGGGGCAGGCTCCCACGCAGGCCTGGTGAGTAGCTGGAGTCCCCTCTGTTCCCTTCCCCCACCACCACTTCCCTGACCAATTTCCAGGTCGCCAGGCCTTTGTCCCCAGCAGCCAGGCCCCTGTCTCCTCGCCAGCAAGGGTCTCAGGCAGCTTGAGCTGCACACAGCAGCATCCTGAAGCCGTGTGAGATGCAGCTCAGTCCTGCTCCCCACCTGGGCCCGGCTGCCAGGGAGAGCAGACAAACATGCTGGAGATGCAGCAGGAGAAGGACAGAGCCGTCCCACCACATGTAAAG